GTTTGCTTGGCTTTCAGCCACCGAGATTTTGGTCTTGCTATTAAAGTACATTCTAGTTAAGCTCATCTTGGCTTTCGTTACTGGACGGAGGAGGGGGTCAGAACAGTTCTGTATGTAATCCGTGCACAACCTTGGCTTCTCTTCTTATTTGTATACATGTATTCTTTTTTTAGACTCTCTCCCAATTTCCGATCACCGCTTTCCTGAGTACTCCTACCCTCTTTCGCATCTTGTTGAGGGAAGATTTAACCAGGTATGGTGGGAAGCAACTTTTAAACACTGTGTTTTTGTCAGGATGTTCAGAACCCACTTTGAACCTTATCAATCTAATCTGCTCCTGAGGTTTCAGATAAGAGTCAATGAAATTCGGGAGAAGCTAACCTTGGATCCTTTGTGGGAACGCAATGATTTTAAGCTGATAACACACATAACTCCACCCTGCCTAGTTTTTGCTTACTCTTCTACAGTTAACAGTTCCTAAAATGAGCCTCATTCTCAGTAATACTTCTAGCAGAATTCTTTTGATGCTTTGTTTATAACCTGACCCAAAATATTAATGTCCACCTTCTTAATAATCTTGTGTATACTCTCATTCAGTTTCAAGTTCAAGAGTCTCCAATACTGTATAAGTGGAGGAGAACCAATAAGTCTTGAAGTGGTGGAAGAATGGAAGAACAAGACAGGACTGGATATCTATCAACTATATGGACAGACAGAAACGGTAAGTTCTATTCAATTTATAGTGACTTTCTCACCGTTGTTTTAAAACATTGTAAAATGCACAGGTACCTCTAGAGAACTGCTCCTCTACCTGAACAACTTTAAGGTATGCAGACTTCAACTCCCAGAATTCTCCAGTCAGCATGGAATTGAAGTCCATCGATTTTAACATCGCTGAGTTTGCAAAACACTGCTCTAGAGGCTGGAATATTGTTTTAGCTTTAGAAGAAGAGAAAAAAAAAAAATAATGTATAATTGATATCTCTGTAGTAGCTTGGTAGATTTTGGCTCCTAATGTTTCAAAGGTTTCTTACCGAGCAAATCTATATACATATAAACGAAATACCAGTCACGCGTCATCACGAAATCTCCAGAATCGTAAAACCTACAAACTTGAAATTTGGCACGTATGTTTCTCTTGGCTTCTAGTTGCTCGCTAAGAAAGGATTTTTTGAAATGACCATCAGATCATTAGTATTTCATAAAACACGCTCTGATGCTAAGGAGTTCTACTCCCCCCTCTCCATCTGAAAAGAACTCTGTTCCAACTGCCACTTGGGCATGGGAATTTAGACATTCTACTCCCCCTTCCCACCTGAACAACACTCTGATGCTAAGGACTTAGACTGAGGGAGACAAGGGGATAAGATCGGAGATGTCTCTGTGGAGCAACCATGAGGGAGAGAAGGGGATAGGAGTGGATCAATGGGGTCAGACTGAAGGAGAGAAGGAGGAGAGGAGAGGCTGATTGTAACTACTCATTAATTTTCAAGCTGTGTCGATTTATCAAACCCGAACATATAGTTTCGTAGCACAGCACGAGTATTCAGCTAGTATTTCATGTTTAGGGGCACTAAACTATAGATATTACTGAGGAAAAAAATAGACAAGGTAATCAAGAATCCAGTTCTAACTGATTTTAAATGATTTACTGATGTCACAAAGCAACTGACAAGAATAAGTAGGCTTGGGATGAAATTAAAGACATCTACATACTTTTTTTGTGAGGAAACCTACTGAAACAGATTTCTCTGTGAATGTCTGTGGGCCAAACTGTATGTTTTTCTAAAATCTTGCGGGGGAAATGAGGAAATAAGGCTCTGTGTGTATGTGCGTGTATTTCTTATAAAGTAATTTTCTTTTATATAGGGATCAATTTGTTCCGTTTCCAAAGAAATGAAAATTAAGCCAGGCACCATGGGGAAAGCTCTTTTTCCTTACGATGTCCAGGTTGGTATTTTCCAATCTTCTTCTTTCTATTGGTTTTCAGATTAAATGCATTCAGGCCAGTGGTGGGTGTGGCCTCTTTTGTGGGAGTGGCTTGCAGCCCATGTGACCGGATAGGAGTGGCTTGCCGCCCATGTGACCGGATAG